ATTCCTTCTTCTTTCTCCTTACTATTAGAGATATCACTATAAAAGATCCTATACGAGATGAAATATATAATTAAGAAAGTTTCTCCCATTGATTATAATTTTAATTAAAAAAATTAATTAATTTTTTAATAAATTTTATTATAAATTATTGAACCACATAATCTAATATTTTGCTAGTATTACAAAACCATTAATCTCAAACTACAGGACTAAGTTTGATGTCTTTCATATAAGAAACAAATAAGATAAAGAGTACTCCATCGACGAACCATCTTATTCGATCCTCATCTGTTAGCGTCAATGCTACGCTCTTTTATTCTGGATGTTCAGAACCACAACTGCAAACATCATGGTCGCCCTACACATGTTCTTACAGTTCTTCAGCATCTGGCAAACGTTGTTGAGGTTGAGCGTGAAGAAACTAATTGCCACACTGCGTTCGTTTCAGTGACAAGCGTCTTCTGCATTAATGAGCCTTCTTTTCCTTCACCTTTGCGAACGGCATTAAGTGTCAAGAAATCATGGATAAAGAAGATATGACGTCTACCGATCCACTTAATTTGATGGGAAGTTTGCTATTGACATATCTCTCATATCATGGAAGAAAAAAAAAAGATGAAATAAATAGACATGTCACTCGACGAGTGGTCCACAACAAGAACATCATTGTCAAATTTATATGAATGCTGGACTTTTAGCAGATCATTATCACGTATATTTTGCCTATACTTCGATCTCCAGGTATCTTCTTCTACAGTAGTTTCTCTTGAACAAGTAGACTACCAACACTAGCCGGAGGAGGTCAGTGATTCTTACACTTACATAGAAGTGTTTGCATATGAGCTACTTGTTAGAGAATTATATTCACCAGAACGATGATAATACATGGATAAAAATCTTAACATCTAGAGAAGTATATATATATATATATATATATATATACACACACACACACAAATGAAGTTGCGAGGAAGCAGCAAGCAGTTCTTTGCCCATCAACATAAGTGCAGCTAATTACTCACTAAATGACAGCACTGCCTGGTGACTGATAGCTTGTCGGCCTATTTGCTTGCTGCAGTGCCAATCACTAGGGTTTTCAAAGATTCACTGGCTTCTATCTCGGATCGAATGGAGACGTCTGTTCCACCATGTGGAGCTGCTCCATTCTGTGGTCAGTATGTGTCCAAGGACGACCATCTCTGCAGACAAAGCCACAAGTATCTCTGCATATCCATTACCAGAGATGATATCATATCCATGCCAAACATGTGCAGGCAATCTCACATGCTTTCCACCCACTGCACTTCAAAGTACCGCCATGGATGGAGCTGTTTCCGATAAGAAAGTTTCCACGATCACTTCATGAAGACTTCAGAGATCACGAGTCAAGACACCTTTCACCACCTAACTGGCGGAGCCATGAGGCTGATGAGGACTTGACCTGGAGTGGATTACGTATTAGATTCCTTTGTGGCGCATGTCTTCAAAGGATATAGATTTAAAGTCAAATGACTCGTCTTGTCGAGTGACTTCACAGACGGTGTCGAGCATGATGAGACATCGTTTCCTCAGATTCTGTGGGAAGAGACGATGCATTCTAAGCCGCAACCGGAAGGAGACACTCACATTGAAGTAGCTGTGAAGCACACACATCTACGTCTCTTCCTCTCTGTTGAATGAGTGAGCACAATTTTGAAGCATCATTCACTCAGATATAAGCTTTGTCTGGGTCTGATGAAGATAAAGTGGGAGAACATGATTAGGTTGGTTGACCCTGCAGCGACCTGTTCCAGGAAGAGATGGTAGAACAGCATGCATTCTATAAAGTAGTGGGCAACAAGTTTTGGAGTCCCCTTAAAGAAAACTTCAACCCATGATTTGGTTGACTGTCATAGAATCGAAGAACTGCGGATTCTACCGCAATATGTTTTATGTAGGAACAATGATTTTTTATTTTTTTTCTATAGTATTTGTTTTGTTCCTTAACATGCATTTTCCGACAATGTTGTTTATTAATCTCTAAAACTTTCTGCAGTGATTACTCTGTTCGTATTTGTATAGTAGTGTATATGAACAAGCTTTTTGAGTTTGTTCATCCATAAACATGAAGAATAATGTGAACCATTTTATGTTATTACAACATTAGACTATAGCTCCGTCTCTCTTCTTCATTATTTAGGGACTTAATGGTATCTCCATTCTTTTAAGATGTGTTTTTTAATAATTTATCTCAGGACCCAGTGAAGCTCTACTGAATCTTTAGAAGATTAATCATCATTGTGAAGGAAGGAAGAATTTAAAACGTAGAAGACACAGGGTCAGAAACGTAGTGAACTAGAAAGGAACCTTTTCCTCCCATTACAGAGCATAGGTTTAGTAGTATCTGAATAAATGGTTGGATTAAATAAGCAGAAAATAAAAAAGGTTTATACAAGCTAAGGATCCAACATTTATTCAGATACTATTATTTAAGACAAAAATTTTACAAAGAACGCACAGATCCAAACATTTATTTTGTTAAATATTTAAGATAAAAAATCATGTTCCATTTAAATAATACATAGTTTCTTAGTTGAAGTTAAGGATACCTCCATTTAACTATAAAGTCAAACATTCGTATCTATCTGTTGCGGTGTGATTCATTGATTAAATTATTCCTTCAAACGATTGAAGTAATCATAGCCTCCTGTACTTCGCTTGATCAAACACACTTGATTCAAGGCCATGTAAGAAATTTTGGATAATTTGAATCTAATCATACATGGAGATTGGGTATCTATACAATCCAAAAGCTTTAAGTTACTTTGGATGTGGGTCAACTTCAACATATATACTTTCATATTGCCCTATTTATTGATCCATTTCTTAGCTTCTCTCTCACACAAGAACTTTTTCCAACAAACCATAATAGTCTCAAAAGAACTGCTCTATGCATTTTTATTTATAATTTTTGTAATAGTCCCAAAAAAAAAAGCTTATCGCCCAAAGAAATCTAACCAGGGATACATAGTTAAGAATTTCACCACATTTAAGGATTCATCAAAATAATTGGATTTGTATTCAAATCATTCCAATGCATGAGTGTTTTCCAATTAACTATTAAAATAAATAAAAATTTTTAAATAACTATTTTACGTCTTTGAACATACATGGAATCTTGAATTATACTCCGATTAAAATTTAATTGTTACGAATAACGTATCAAAGCCACCTCTTCTGCTTCTGCTTGATCAATATCATTAGTATTCATATCCGAATTATTATTTACCACTCGTTTCACTTTCTTAAACTAATTTCATAATCTTTCTTTTATTCTTCTCCATCTTCTTGATCCAGTCCTTGTAATTCATTGATCAAAGATTTAACCATGTAAATCATAATAATAGAATAACTAAAATGTAATTCTTTTAGAGAAAAATAAATACAAGTTCCTTTTGGGAACTCCAAATTAGATTTCTTTGCTTCAATGAGCTCTCCAATATTAAGTATCTTTCTTCATAAATATCTCAGAAATAGTATAAAATCAATCCTAAAATTCTGATTCTTTGATGAACCAAGTAACTACCATGAACATTTGTCTTCTCCTCTATCAATCATAAGTATATCAATCAGCTCAAACTAATCACTGTGCACTAGAAGACTTGTAAACAAGTTTTTCTTTCATACCTGTGCTTGTTCATGACAAGACTCTTTTGCATGGCTAGATTTTTTTTTTGCCTATCTAATCATTGTGAAAAGACAGATAAATTTGGATCACTTGTGTTAGACTTTTCATGGAATTATTGCTTGCTTTCTGCAAATGCACTAAATAATATAGATACTGCTGCAATCATGCAGACTAAACCATACATAATAGCTCATGTATTCAATATATCATTTTCCCCTTGTTTAAGATCTGATTAGTTTGCATCAATTTCGTCATTGATGCCTTTATAAATCATTAGCTAACTTTGCCTGAATGAATGCAGCTTTCTTGCCGAGGAAACTCATTCACTGGATGCATCATCCTACATGTACTTACTTGAGTTAGTTGACCATACACAGGTAGAAGAACCTAATGAACTTACTGTGATCATAACTTTGTAAATCTCATAAATGCTAGCACATAATTATTGCCTCTGAGAATTGATCAGATGCAAGATGCAAGAAATGAAGTGTTGCTACCAAACAATGAAAATAATAGAAGATAAGAATAATTACTGAAGAAACTTTATTGAAGAAGTGAATAAGCTTTATTGAAGAAATGAAAAATGCTTCGATACATTAACATGTTCCCTCTCCTTCCTATTTATACAGATTAGGAGAAAGGATTTCCCTCAACAGAATAGAGAAATTTCCTCAACAGAATAGAAAGATTTCCTCATATAGTTGGGAAATCTTATTTTCTATCATGCCCCCGCAAAATGGTGCTCCTAATAAGGATACCAATCTTGGATCTTGGATCGATGCAAAGAATGGTTTACAAGCGAGAGACTTCGTGAGTAGGGCAAGAGCAGATGACTGCAGCGGCGTTGGTCGCTGGCCGAACACAAGGGCTGGCCGAAGACAAGGGCGAAGCTTCGCTTTTCTGAAGCTTTATTGAAGATAAGAACAATTACTGAAGAAGCTTCATTGAAGAAATGAAGAAGCTTTATTGAAGAAATGAAGCTTCATTGAAGAAATGAAGAAGCTTTATTGAAGAAATGAAAAATGCTTCATTACATTAACATGTTCCTGTCCTATTTATACAAATTAGGAGAAAGAATTTCCTTCAATAAAATAGAGAAATTTACTCAACAAAATAGAGAGATTGGGAAAATCTTATCTTCTATCACCAAACCATCGCAATTGATTGAAGCTATTTGAACTTAATTCCATAGGGTATCATACACAATTAAGCTAAAGGTCACAACTATATCACAATTCTTCTGTGTCATACTCGAGTGAGAGAGAGAGAGAGAAGAGAGAGAATTCATAAGATTTTAAGATTAACTCAAATAGACAACAAACAATCAAAGTGATGGAGGTAGACCGAAAAAGGGAAAATGAACGCGTGGATGGTTGGTCGTCATAGCCTGAGAGACAAGTCGATGTCATCCGCGATCCCTCCTTTGCCGTCGAATCCACTATCACCTCCTCGCCACTGCGTCACGGTGGCTGCCTGCTCCTCCTTCCTCTCAACCCGGCCTTCTAAACTGGTGGAGCCGTGCCCAGGCGCCGCCACGTGGATCTGGGAGGCCCGAGTCCGCGCGATCAAGCTCAGCTCCCGGTTACGCTTGGCCAGGCTCCGCTCCAGCTTGTGCGCATTCTGGTGGCCTCCCAGCGCCTGCGAGCTGACGAACTTCTTGTGACAATAGATGCAAGTGAAGACTCGCGCTGGCTCCGGTGGCATCAGCGGCACGAGCCCCAGTTGCAGCTTCACATCGTCATCCTCCTCCTTGTGGTCAAATTCCATGGCAGACAACCGAAGAGGCCGAGAATGAGGGGTATGTGGGGAGGGCTGGGGACATAAGATAATGGAATATAAAGGTGGTGGAGGAGGAACAAGTTACGAATGGGAAGATGAGAGAAAGGGGTAGGTGATGAAGGAGATTGGAAGGTTTGTCGCCTAGACTTATGGTAGGGCTTGAACAGCACAGGTAAGGATAAGATGACACATTACTTCAGTTTCTTGGTTTCTTTCAACTAAAGGTGCCCAAAACTTCACTTCTTTTCAGTGTCCAAAAGGAATTCTTTTACTCATTCTACAGTTTGTGAGAGACGACATCTTTTACTCTTGTGAATCAGTAAATGAATCTACCGCACAAATGATTTCCCAACAATGCACTACACTACTTTACCTAACAAGTCAGATCGCAATTATTTAGTGGTTTTTATGGCTTTTTTCTCCACACACAAAGAAAAAACATTTTCTTTTGGATTTCTTTTTCACTTGTATCATCCTATTTTGATTTCATCTTATAATAATAGCAAAAAAGATGCACAAAGGAGGAGGCATTGAGTGTGAGGAGAATAAATGAAAGAAAAAGCTTTCTGCGTGACTTCATATTATTTGTACAGCTTCTTGTATCTCCTTATACTACTCATCTAAATTTGAAAATGAAGTTAATATACTTGATGTACTAAGTGTCAATCTTCTTGCTTAAAAAGATTATTCTGATGTTTGCAAGCGTCGTAGGAACTTTTAAATTGATGGAATTAATAGAAACATAAAAATAAGATGTACATATGTTTTCACCGGATAGATTTCATATTTACTTTTTTCAATATCAAATAATAGAATAATTTACGAGTAAAAAAATTATACTCCAAAATTTCAATGTTTACTTTTTAATTTTTTTTACAGATATTTTAATTTGTAAGCATGCACGACAAATCCACTTGCTAACAATGTCAGAACAGCTATTGCTGACATTATTTGGTGACTAGTGACCATGACGCCATTAGACATTCATGCCACTTTCTAGAGTCAATCACCACAAGTGACCATGATGCCATTACTCCATCATTCTAGTTAGAAATTAGTAGCGATGAGTGAGTCAAACTAATCATAATTAATATACATTAAATTAGACATCAATTCAATCTAAAAATTTAGTAATAATAAGTGAGATAAACTAATCTAAAATTACATATATTGAAAGAGACATCAACTCAAACCAATTACTTAAGATCATTTAACTATGGACTAAACTAAAATATATGTCATCTGATACTCTTGATATTTACCAATGTGGAACTATTATTTTAGTCCTCTTTTTTAATATCACATTTACACATGAATATTTTCTAATTTTTAAAAAAAATATATATACTAACTTGTCCATGTTAAATGACTACCCAACTGGTAAGCATATGTAGAAGAAAGCATTGTATGAGTTGAAGCAAGCACCACATGCTTGGTACAATAAAATTGATGGCTATTTCAATGTAACAGGTTTCATGAAAAAAGCAAGAGTTAATTTACTTTATACACTAAAATAGAAGAAGGTTCAGGGATAATCATTGTTGTTCTTTATGTTAATGATTTTGTATTTATAGGAAATAGTGCAAAAAATGATAGAAGAGTTCAAAAATGATAAGGTGAATAAATATGGAATGAGTGACATGGGGATGCTAAGATACTTTCTTGGCATTGAGATTTATTAAAATAAAAATAATTTATTTATTTCTCAAAAAAATTATGTGGATAAGATTCTGAAGAAGTTTAATGTTGCAACACCAGTACTAGTTGGTGAAATGTTGAAGAAAGAAGATATAGGAAAGAAGATTGATGTTGCTTTTTGTAGAAGTTTGATTGGTAATTTATTATATCTCACAACTATAAGGCCAGATATTATGTTTGCCACAAGTATATTAACTATATTTATGAATACTTCTAGTCACATTCATTTTAGAGTTACAAAAAGAATTCTCATATATCTACAAGGTACTAAAGTATTTGAAATCAAATTTGACAAGCAAGAAGATTTGAAGCTAATTGAATTCTGTGATAGTGACTAGGGTGGATATACATATGATATAAAGAGTATAGCTAGTTATGTTTTTTCTTTTGGTATAGGTATATTTTCTTGGAGCTCAAAGAAGTAGCAATCAGTGGCACAATCACCTGCAGAAGCTGAGTATGTTTCAACATCTATGGCTACTTCTTAAGCAATTTGGCTAAGAAGAATTTTAGAAGAACTTAGAGAAATGCAACTTGAAGGAACAAAGATCTTTTGTGATAACAAATCAGCAATAGCAATGGCTAAGAACCCTATCTACCATAGTCCCACCAGACATATTGCACTCAAGCATCACTTCATCAGAGAAGCAATTGAAGAAGGTAAAATTTAAGTGAAGTATTGCAACTCCAATGATCAAGTAGCAGACATATTCACCAAGGCACTACCAAGAGACAAGTTTGAGTATTTTAGAGAAGTTATGGGTGTTATAGAATAACACAGTAAGGGGGAGAAATGTTAATATTAATGTGTTGCATGTGGGCCTTGAAATATTATGAAATGTTAGAGGTAGTTTAGGAAATGAAGTATTGGTTAGAGTTCTCAATTAATGGGTTAGGAAGAAAACTTAGAGAAGGCTATAGTAATTTTAGATTGAATGAGAAGAATTGGATGATTGTTGATGGTGTCATAAGTACCATCGATCAATGAGTCGGCACGATTGGTCAACTATTAAAGATACAGGATCATCGAAGTGCCTCTTCCTGGCTGACGTGGGAGACTTGGTGAGGTGATACCACATAGGCTATCCAGTTGGAAGCCGTTCTGTTGGTGAGGACCCAATTCGAGATGGCCAGGTAGGCGAACCAGGATCTTTCTATTTGTAAGGTTTCTCCTAGGGGCTAGGCTGTCCAAGTGTCCTTGGGTGATTGGCGATCCTACATGACAAGCTAGCATCGGGGGTTGCTTAGCGTGGCCCCTTCGATGCTTAAGTCAGTGAAGGGGAGAAGACAGTAGTATAAGCTATATGATTGAGTTACTGTGTAGAGAGAGAGAGAGAGAGAGAGAGAGAGAGCCCTACTTCGCGTGAGCTGATGGGTTCATTTTTATACTTGATCCTTGGGCCTTCTCATTAACTGGTCTAGGATAAGATTAGGTTTAATAAAGTGAAATGTAATTATAAAATTAAATTAAATTTATTGAATATAATGTCTATTTATACATGTTAGAGGAGACGATTTTCCTTAACTGATCAATAAGATTTCTTTGTGCAGTTGGAAAAATCTTATCTACTATCATGCTCCCACAAGGTTAAGCTCCTATCAAGGATACCGATCTTAAATCGATATAATAAAAATAGTTTGTGAGTGAGAGGCTTCGTGAGTGAGTGCTAATTGGTTAGCCATATGTATATAAGAAACACATAGTTGATGTTTGACAACTTGATTTTTCATGAAGTGGAAGTCGATGACAATATGTTTCATGCGTGAGTGGAACACTGGATTGGCGCATAGGTAGGTAGCTCCAACATTATCACAGTATATTGTAGGAGTAAGGATAGAGTTGACATTAAGTTCATTAAGCAGATTCATGACCTAATTGAGTTCTACAGTAGTAGAGGCGATGAAATGTTATTCAGCTTTAATTGTAGACTATGCGACTATCTTTTGCTTTTTAGAACTCCAACTCATTAGATTAGTTCCAAGGAAGATAATATACCCCAATGTGGATGTTCTATCATTAAAGTTTTTTCCCTAATCAGCATTGATAAAGTCATGGAGATGAAGTGGGGAGTGTTTGTGGAGAAAAAGGCCATGATTGAGGGTCCTTTTAAGATACTACAAAATTCGTTTAACTGTAGACCAATGTGTAGTAGATGGTCGATGCATGAATTGTGATAATTTTATTTACTACAAATGAAATATCTGGACGTATGAGAGCTAAGTGTTATAAGGAGCTAAGTACTTGTTAGTATTGTGTAGAGTCTGTAATAGGGCATCCATCACATAATTTGAGTGATTCACTAGTAGAGAGAGGAGTTATAACCTCTTTTGCATCATGTAGGTTTGTCATTAATAATAAATCTTGAATATACTTTTTTTATGATAGCAAGAGGCCTGAAGATGTAAATGTTGCTTCCACTCCCAGAAAATAGCTCAAGGTTCCTAGATCTTTAAGGGAGAATCGATCGGCCAATTACTTTAGGAATGTCTGAATCTCTAAACGATCATTGCCCATGACAATAATATCATCCACATACAGCACAAGATATATTGTATCTCTATTTTGTTGTTATAGGAATAATGAGGTATCAGACTTGGAGTTGATGAAACTAGTTGATGTTAAAATTGAGCCAAGTTTAGTGTACCAAGCTCTTTGAGCTTGACGAAGTCAATAAATAGCTTTTTGTAGTTTATAGACATGCCTCGGATATTGAGAATGAATGAAGCTAGGAGGTTATTGCATAAAGACGTCTTTAGTTAGAATCTTTGTAAAAAAATATTGTTAATATATAATTATTATAAGTGCTAGCTTTTTGAGATGGCCAAACTCAGGATAAGCTATATTGTTATAGGTTTAACAATGGTGAAGTCAACACTAGATAATTGATTGAACCCTTTGGCTACTAAACGTATCTTATATCTGGCAACAGATCCGTTTGGGTTCCACTTAATTTGAAAGAGTCATTTACACTCGATAATGTTTTGTATATAATGAAAGGGTACTAGAGTTCATGTAGAGTAATGGAAGAGGGCATCTTATCCTTCACACATGGCTTTATGGCAGTGTGGAGATTTTTTACCTACGTCAGGAATCAATTTATACCAAAAACGATGGAAGGCTACGTGGGTCAATCTAATTACATCACATTTATCGACTTAATATTATCGAGAGAGGGGATTTTTTATTCGATTTCTATAACATATCACATACATACATATTTAATATATATCTACATCGCATATAAATATATATATATATAATAAGTGCATAAGCAATCACACATTACATGAGCAATCACACTAGATGATCATGGACCATAACCTATATGATTAGGCCCGAGTTAGTGGGCCCAATCACTCACATCATGATCTATGTATGCATTGATGCATCTCCATGCCCTTTGATCGTTCATCTTATCCTCATCGG